ATGAAGTGCTCACGTTTGTTAACGTAAACACACCCTTACCTCCACATCCCCTCCCCCCCCCCCCCACACACACACACACTTACATCACCCACACACATACACCTAACTTCCACACACCCCCACACATACACACTTCACTTCCTGACACCCTTTCCCACACACATATCTATACTTCCATACCACATTCCCCCCTACACACTACCACTACGTCCACACCGCCTTTCCACACACATCCTTACCACACATACACACACACTACTATCCCACACACCACTACGCCCACACAGCCTTTCCCCCCCCCACACACACACACTCACGCACATCACCTCTTCGGGAAAAGTTCATCTCACATTTTCTCACCGGAGAATATATAAGGAAAAGATTAAATATTTATGGCGTCATGAGTGTATAATAAAAAAAATTAGCAATCTATTTTTTTTTCACGATTGAAATAATGAACGCCGAACCAGATTGCTTATTTGATGCCAGCAATCTCCGTCCATGTGATTGCTCGGAAAGTAATTACACATTTTTAACTAATTTCTTTTTTTTAACTTTGTCTACTTTAAAATATTTTTAACTTACCCTTTTTTTAAAGCATTACGGGTTAAATCCTTGGATAATAATTTTAAAAATTTAACTCATGCATTCCTATATAATTTATGAAAACAACCCCCCCCCCCTTTGTTTCCCCCCTTTAAATCTGTTTTTTATCGATGTATTGAAAATGCAAAGGGACTGGATCTTTTTTTTTTGTTTCATCAATTCAAAAATCAATAAAGTTCAATATCTTTAGCGGTCTGGACGTAAAGCTAAAATTCCTCGGATTTACGTTTCATTCGTCTTGCGCTTTGTATAAAAAAAAATCGTTTCGACAAATATTTTCAGCATTTTTTTTTCCCCGCTTGACGTGTTAGACAAGGGCTTACCTTTTTTTTTGTTCTAAAGTTAATGCGCTGTTGAAATTGCTATGTTTATAAGTAAAGAGAGGTCGAATGATGTTTTTTTTTAGAAAAGTAGACATTTTGCAGTTTTATGTATACGTGTAAAGAGGTCGATGTTTTATGTAGAGATGTTGAGGTTTGTATCTATATATATAATTCTCTTCTGGGAGACGCTAGAAAACAAGCTGTAAGCGCGCCTAGCAGTCCCCTCCCTTCCTCTATACTACTATATAGGCATATCTCTATTATCCCCCCCCATACCCACATGGTCTGGTGAGCTGTGGTTCACGCTATATGTTTACAAGCGTAGAGACGGGTTTAGTGACGGCTATTAGGGGCAGATAATTTAGTTTGAAACTATTTTAAACTTAGGGGAGGTAACTAAGACGAGGCTGCTATCACGAGGAGGGGGGAGGTTGGGGGAAAGGAGGGTTTTAGTTTTTTAAAGCAAATTATCAATTACTGAAAAGTAGAAAAAACAACAAAATAGCGGCGTATGATACGCCGCGTGTCGGCTCGTAAGGTTATATAGTATGAAAGTTTGTGAATGAAAGCTGAAGATTCTGGTATGCAACGATATCTGTCTTGTCAACATTTACGGCTTAACGGCTTAACCTCACTATTTTATGCAGCTGCTTTCTCCAAAACCAAACTCCTGTTGGCATAAAAGGTTATGTAGTTTCTTCTTCTTTCTTCTTTTTCGTTCTTAATTTTTTTTTTTTATGTTAGAAAGGAATTCCCTCCAACACAATTGAGTATTACGGCTCAACTTGTTATGCGCCATTGAGGCCATTGACTCCGATTTCAGCCTGCTTTACTTTTTGGATTTGCTTCCATAGCCTTTGTCCAACCAAGAACAAACTACAAATCAGCAGTTGTTTGCTTTTAGAGTTGTCTCTCCTAGAATAGTTGCTGTCCCCAGCTATCGAGCCTCCTCTGCCCAGGGATTAAAACTCAATAGTTTTCTAGCTAGATAGGTTATGAATGTAAGCTTGAGATTCTGGTATGCAACGATATCTCTTTTATTAACATTTGAGCTCAACCCCCATTATAATTATTTTATGGGCTGCTTTCTCCAAACCTAATTCATGTCACCATCATTGTATTTGCCCGTTCGTGCTCAAGATTGAAACATGGGGCAGATGAAGTAGAATTCACCTGTTTCAGAGACCTCGGCATATGAAGTGATAGTATGGTCAACACTGTGCCCAACCGCCTTTATTTTACCTAACGTGAGTTGGGTGCCTATCAGGGCAGTGTGGACTTAGATATTCTCCTCCTATTAAGAACAATTACCACTTTAAAAATAGGTAAGAAATTATCCCCAAGAAAATGAGAGTAATCTATCAAAAACTAATGAAATTACCTTCTTTGAAAATGAGCCGACCGACACTGAGTCAGTCTTCTAATAAAATACTTAAAAAAAACTTTTTAAAAAACCACGTTTTTCTTGTGGACTAAAAGGTAGAAAATAAAATTTTCTTTTGTGCTTCCTCGAGCTGTGCAGGTTCTTGTGATGACTGACAAAAAACGTGGGTACGTTCACCATCAAATTTCCCGACCCATCTGCCCGACCTACGTTTTTTGTCAGTCATCACAAGAACCTGCACAGCTCGAGGAAGCACAAAAGAAAATTTTATTTTCTACCTTTTAGTCCACAAGAAAAACGTGGTTTTTTAAAAAGTTTTTTTAAGTATTTTATTTTCTTCTTTTTAGTCCGTTGCTACACATGAAAAACGTGGTTTTTAAAAAAGTGTTTATAAATACACGGACTAAAAACTTGAGCGACCAGGATTCGAACCTGGGTTGTCGCGGCCACAACGCGAAGTACTAACCACTATACGATCACGGCCAGCGCGCTCACATCGATTGGGGGCCGAAGTAACTGGGTCAATAGGCCTCCAGTCTTGTCGGTATCTTTAGAAATCATGTCCTCAATTTTATGGTCCTTGGGGCGTAATTAAATTAAGCTAATTACGGTCACTAATTGCTAGTTTTTATGATTGCATCTGAAATTGTTAGGCGAAAGTAGCATGCATGCCAAATTTCAGGTCTATAGAGCAATCAGAAGTGGGCTAATTTTCGATGTCAATTTTAACAACAAACATCCAAACAAACAAACAAACGCGAAGCTGAGTTAAGAAAAACGTGTTAAAAGAGAAGTTAAGCCGAATTTTTTTAACGGTGTGGCGTTGTGTCTGTTATGAGCCGTTCTTTCTTTATAAATAAGCCGCTTTGTCCTTAAATAAATCAGCTGTTCTTCCCTTAATAAATGAGCTGTTCTTCAAAAATTACTAAATTAATCAGCCGTACTCCCCTAAATAAATGCGCCATTTTCCACTAAATAAATGCATCGTATTCCACTAAATAAATTCGTCGTATTCCACTAAATAAATGCGACGTACTCCCCTAAAAAAATGCGCCGTACTCCCGCTAAATAAATGAACCGTACTCACCTAAATAAATGCGCCATCCTCCCCCTAAATAAATGCGCCGTACTTCCCTAAATAAATGCGCCGTACTCCCCTAAATAAATGCGCCGTACTCCCCTAAATAAATGCGCCGTATTTCCCTAAATAAATGCGCTGTACTCCCCTAAATAAATGCGCCGTACTCCCCTAAATAAATGCGCCGCACTCCCCTAAATAAATGAGCCGTATTTCCCTAAATAAATGCGCCGTACTCCCCTAAATAAATGCGCCGTACTCCCCTAAATAAATGCGCCGTATTTCCCTAAATAAATGCGCCGTACTCCCCTAAATAAATGCGCCGTACTCCCCTAAATAAATGCGACGTACTCCCCTAAATAAATGCGCCATACTCCCCCTAAATAAATGCGACGTACTCCCCTAAATAAATGCGACGTACTCCCCTAAATAAATGCGACGTACTCCCCTAAATAAATGCGCCGTATTTCCCTAAATAAATGCGCTGTACTCCCCTAAATAAATGCGCTGTACTCCCCTAAATAATTGCGCCAACAAAGTGCACTCCCTGTTGACGCCCCCAATCTAACGAGACCAGATTTTTTTGGTCACCTCAATCTTTGACGTCACGGCCCCCCGCGTGAGAAATTGCCCGGACATCGATTTGGGAGCACCCTGTGTCACCCGACCCGACCTTCTCGGAGAGACGCCTTGACTGATGAGATGACACACTGCACTGTTGTCGGTGTGTGGGGGGGGGGAGTTGATTCCCCACCCACCTTAAAGTGCTGGGAGTCAATACGCTATAGATTTGGTGCTTTAGTACTCTATGATAAAGTGTATCTAGATACGTCATGTTGGGTATCCGATGAAGTAGCGACCCATCATTATATGGGTATCTGATAGTAGCGGTCTATCATTGTAGCAGATAAATGTTTTAATGAGTCTCTTGACAGCTGGTTAAAAGACGATTTTTTGAAGACTTAAATCTGGCTGACAAATCCTTCTTAAATGTATGTGTGTGGTGAATATTTTTACTTGACTGATGAATACTTTTATTTGGTTGGTGAATACTTTTATTTATCTGATGATTACTTTCATTTGGTTGATGAATACTTTTATTTGGTTGATGAATACTTTTATTTGGTTGATGAATACTTTTACTTGGTTGATGAATACTTTTATTTATCTGATGATTACTTTTATTTGGAAGATGAATACCTTTATTTGGCTGATGAATATTTCATTTCGGTTGATGAATACTTCCATTTGTTTGATAAATACTTTTATTTGAGTGATGAATAATAATAATAATAATAGTGTTGGAAGGGATCCCCTTCTACACAATTAGGCATACGTGTCAACTGGTTATGCGCCGTTGAGGCCTTGGAATAGCTTCCATAGCCTTTGTTCAACCAAGAACAAACTACAAGGCAGCAGTTTGATTTTGGAGTTATCTCTCCTAGAAGAGTGGCTGTCCCCAGCTAACGAGCCTCATCTGACCGAGGGTTCGAACTCGAGACTTTTCGGTTTAGCATCTTAACCACTAATTTTCAAGTTGCTTTTTTTTTTTCGCCAATATTTTACTACATTGTAGATGTGTATAATTTTTCTTGTTTTTTTTCTACAGATGAAGGAAACAACTAGTGAGGAGGGTACGGGCAGGGGACAGTCTGTGTGTGGGGGTCATGAGAGGGCGTTGTCTATACAAGATACTGTGCAGTCCCTGGACCTACGGGAAGAAAGTAAGTCTGGACGGAAGAAAAAATACGTGCAGTAGAAAGTAAGATTCACCGGAAGAAATTGGGTTTGACCGGAAGAAAGTAAGTTCGGCCGGTAGAAAGCATGTTTATCCGGAAGAATTTTTGTTCATTCGGATGAAACGTACACATAAACATTATAAAAGCTAACACCCCCCCCCCCCCACACACACACACACACACCACCACCACCACCCTAGACCCGTCGATGCCTTGAGAATACTAGGCTAAACTCACATTTTATTTTATCGAATGTCTCGCTGTCGATTGGTAGATTTATCCGGAAACATACATACATACATGCATACATACATTCAACATAACACAACATGCATAAATACATACCTACATACATACCTACATACATACATACATACATACATACATACATACATACATACATACATACATACATACATACATACATACATACATACATACATACATACATGCATACATACATACATACATGCATACATAGACAGACAGACAGACAGATAGACAGATAGATAGATAGATAGATATAGAGAGAGAGAGATAGATAGATAGATAGATAGATAGATAGATAGATAGATAGATAGATAGATAGATAGATAGATAGATAGATAGATAGATAGATAGATAGATAGATAGATAGATAGATAGATAGATAGATAGATAGATAGATAGATAGATAGATAGATAGATAGATAGATAGATAGATAGATAGATAGATAGATAGATAGATAGATAGATAGATAGATAGATAGATAGATAGATAGATAGATAGATAGATAGATAGATAGATAGATAGATTAGATAGATAGATAGACAGATAGACAGACAGACAGACAGACAGATAGCTTCCCTCCTCTACCCCCTGAGATCACGGCACGGATGACGTCATCACGAGTTTATGTAAATGACGAATGTACATTTGTCGACGTGGGCGCAGACGACAAGATAAACACAGCGCGCGGCAACCTTGGCCTTGACCCCCTTGCTGACCCCACTCCTGCTGATCGTTTCCTTGAATTTCCCCACCCTCCCTTGGGTTATTTTTTGTATTTAGACCGTATGCAAATGTGGGTAATGCTTCCGGGTTAAGCTCAGGGACCCCCGCCATTTTTCTACCAGAAAAACGTTTCTATTTTAACACAAACTGTGTTTATATCCTCGACGGCAACTGACGGATCGTAGTGCATTTGCCGGGGTGTTGAATATTTTAAGCTCACACTTTTCCGAGGGTACAATTTTAATAGAAACAGTAGCGAGGGGGGGGGGGGGGCGGGGGGACAATATGTCCCCGGGCGCCGACCTTAGGGGGCGCCAAAATGGGTTGTAAATATAAATTGAAAGGTTGAGGGGGGTGCAAATCGAAAGTTTGAGGGGGGGGTGCAAATGGAAATCTCGAGGGGGGGTGCAAATGGAAATCTCGAGGGGGGGTGCAAATGGAAATCTCGAGGGGGGGTGCAAATCGAAAAGTTTGTCCCCTGTCGCCGGGAAGGGTCGCTACGCCTCTGAATAGAAATTCAGCGAGGTTGTTTTTTTTTTTTAACTAATGTGTCGCTGTTTCGTTATTTTTGCTCCCGGTATCATTATAATTCCTGTGGATCCCTTTCCCAGCCAGTGATTCTTCCAGACCTTTTGAGATTTTCGGAGGAGGGAGAGAGAGATACTAAAATTTCCAGGGGGCGGACTAAAAATTCCGGGGGAGGGCACAGTTAAAAGTATATATTTTCTATATAAATTCCATTTTGTTCGGGGTGGGGGGGGAGCAGTTGACTCTTTTTCGGGGGAGAAGGGGAGGGGGGGGGGGGAGAAATAATTGAAAGAAACACTGTTCCGAGCACCACAGGGACGCAACATTTCCATGTTACTTAGTGTTGGGCTATAATCACCCAAGCTCGGTCCGTAAAATTCCAACTGATTGTGCTACACTGACAAGTTTATTTCGGCCTACCTACTTTCCTCTTTTCCTTAGGGTTTTCCAATGTAATGTTTGTCCGTGGAAGTTTTTTTGTTGGTTTGCGTAAGGTGTGTCCAATTTATACTCAATAGGTTTGTTTGGTGTGTGTGTTTTTTTTTTGTTTTGGTTTTTTTGGAATAGTTCGTGTGCTAATTTGGTTTCCGGTGTGCGTGGCAATTTCGTAGATGACATTTGTTTGTTGGTATTTATTTGTTGTTGTTGTTTTATTGTTTGTTTGTTTTTAATAGGGCTTGTAAGTAGGTCACCACACAGTTCTACGGCTCAATAAAACCTGCATGAGCCGTAGAGCTGGTTGGTGACCTACTTACCAGCCCTATTATTATTTTATTTTTTTCCGAATAGTAATTTTGCTTAGCCTTTGGTAGATTTGTTGGCTCGCATAGATCCCGAAGGCTTTCGCTTACACATCATAATCTCTACTAGAAATACATCTTCGTTCCCAAGCACTTGTTAGTACAATGCGTTTACTGCTTTTTGTTTTACGGGGTAAGGTTGCTAGCACTACACCCAATCTTCTTCGCTCTACATCCGGGCTTTAGACAAACAAGATGGCCCCCGAAGGTTGATCAATGCGAAGATGAATCGCCCTTGAGTTCTATTTCTAAACCTGGTGTCTTGAGTATATTTCAAATACTAGTATAATTTTAGCTGTCATTTTTGTAATTTCCGCAATAAAGACTAGTTTACAATACAGCCATAGTTTCGGTTAGGAACCGGAAATTCGACCAGTAGATTATAGTCTCTAAAGTTTCCGTCCCCAGAGCAAGGTCGAGGTAGTCGAAATGGCGGTCAGAGAATCAGAATGGTGCTACATGTTAGCTATGGGGGGGGGGGGGTCACTAGGTCACGCCGTGGAATTGTCAAAAAGTGATCTGTCACGTTAAATTATTGAGTAAGTGAGTAGAGAAAGTGGGGGGTCGTGTGGGTGGTGCTTGAAATCGAATGTGCAGACTGTGGTCCAGTTGGTGGTCTAGTTGGTGGTCTGGTTGGTGGTCCAGTTGGTGGTCCAATTGTTGGTCTAGTTGGTGGTCTAGTTGTAGGTCTAGTTGGTGGTCCAGATGGTGGTCTAGTTGGTGGTCCAGTTGGTGGATGGTGGAGCTCTCTCTCGCTCTCTCTCTCTCTTTATCTATCTATCTATCTCTCTCTCTCTCTCTCTGCCTCACTTAATATATCTCCCCTTGAGCGAAATGCCACAATAATCTTGAAGTCTTGATATGTTGTATGTTGTGTTCACGAAATACCTAGTACTTTTGATTCTACTGTGGTATGGATGTGGTCAGGTAGTAGAGCGCACAACTTCTACCTTGATAGTCCCGTGTACGGTTCCCGGATACGTGGGAGGACGGGGTCACTAGCTGGGGACAGCAACCCTTCGAGATAACACAGGACTTTACGTTCGATTTAAAGTACTAAAACACATTGTACTGATGATGTTGAAGTACTGAAACACATTGTACTGATGATGTTGATGTACTAAAACACATTGTACTGATGATGTTGAAGTACTGAAACACATTGTACTGATGATGTTGAAGTACTGAAACACATTGCACTGATGATGTTGAAGTACTGAAACACATTGTACTGATGATGTTGAAGTACTGAAACACATTGTACTGATGATGTTGATGTACTGAAACACATTGTACTGATGATGTTGAAGTACTGAAACACATTGTACTGATGATGTTGAAGTACTGAAACACATTGTACTGATGATGTTGAAGTACTGAAACACATTGTACTGATGATGTTGAAGTACTGAAACACATTGCACTGATGATGTTGAAGTACTAAAACACATTGTACTGATGATGTTGATGTACTGAAACACATTGTACTGATGATGTTGATGTACTGAAACACATTGTACTGATGATGTTAAAGTACTAAAACACATTGTACTGATGATGTTGATGTACTGAAACACAATCTACTGATGATGTTGAAGTACTGAAACACAATCTACTGATGATGTTGAAGTACTAAAACACATTGTACTGATGATGTTGATGTACTGAAACACAATCTACTGATGATGTTGAAGTACTGAAACACAATCTACTGATGATGTTGAAGTACTAAAACACATTGTACTGATGATGTTGATGTACTGAAACACAATCTACTGATGATGTTGAAGTACTGAAACACAATCTACTGATGATGTTGAAGTACTAAAACACATTGTACTGATGATGTTGAAGTACTGAAACACAATGCACTGATGATGTTGAAGTACTAAAACACATTGTACTGATGCTGTTGATGTACTGAAACACATTGTACTGATGATGTTGAAGTACTGAAACACATTGTACTGATGATGTTGAAGTACTGAAACACATTGCACTGATGATGTTGAAGTACTGAAACACATTGTACTGATGATGTTGATGTACTGAAACACATTGTACTGATGATGTTGAAGTACTGAAACACATTGTACTGATGATGTTGAAGTACTGAAACACATTGTACTGATGATGTTGAAGTACTGAAACACATTGTACTGATGATGTTGAAGTACTGAAACACATTGTACTGATGATGTTGAAGTACTGAAACACATTGTACTGATGATGTTGAAGTCTGAAACACATTGTACTGATGATGTTTTAGTACCTAAACACATTGTACTGATGATGTTGAAGTACTGAAACACATTGTACTGATGATGTTGAAGTACTGAAACACAATGCACTGATGATGTTGAAGTCTGAAACACATTGTACTGATGATGTTGATGTACTGAAACACATTGTACTGATGATGTTGATGTACTGAAACACATTGTACTGATGATGTTGATGTACTGAAACACATTGTACTGATGATGTTGATGTACTGAAACACATTGTACTGATGATGTTGATGTACTGAAACACATTGTACTGATGATGTTGATGTACTGAAACACATTGTACTGATGATGTTGATTTACTAAAACACATTGTACTGATGATGTTGAAGTACTTAAACACAATGTACTGATGATGTTAAAGTACTACTAAAA